TGCTGACTCAGCAACCGCTCCTCTTTCCCCAAACACCGTGCCTTTTTCTCCTTCTTCAGATTCAGACCCTATTAACTCCTCTATGTTCCCACAACAACGAACATCAATAGTTTGTAGATTCTGGAGATACCCCAACCACCTACCTGAGAATAACTTCTTTATGTCACCAACATTAGAAACACGAATACGTTGAATAGAGGAAAATGTACCAGCTGGTAACGATGCTGACTTAGCAATTGCTCCTCTTTCCCCAAACACCGTGACTTTTTCTCCTCCTTCAGATTCAAACCCTATTAACTCCTCTATGTGCCCACAATCACGAACATCAATAGTTTGTAGATTCTGGAGATACCCCAACCACCTAACTGAGAATAGCTTCTTTATGTCACCACAATAACAAACACCAATACATTGAACAGAGGAAAATGTGCCAGCTGGTAGCGATGCTAACTTAGCAACTGCTTCTCTCCCCCCAAACATCGCAGTCAAGTTATGCAAACCATAGAAAACTAGCTTCTCAAGGTTTTGAAGCTTCCCCCAATTTCCAATATTCCTCCATTTAAATTTTATTTCAGTGGCTATTGTTAAATGCTGAAGTTTGGAGAGATTTTGTAACAGTTCATCACATGTTTCTGATAATCTTCCACCAAGACCAAGATATTTTAGATTTGTTAACATGTTGAGGCCTTGGGGTAGTTTTGCAATTGATGTCTTGGAAAGGTCCAACTTTTTTAAGCCTACAAGGTTGGATAAAGATGGTACCTCTATTAAGGAACAACACCAATTCAGCAATAATGTAGTAAGCTTCTCCAATTTGGAAACTGAACTCGGCAGCCTACTTAGCGTATAATTGTTGGAAAGATCAAGAGTCTTGAGCCCAAGCAAATGCTCGAAAAAGGCTTCTGGAATTGTTGAAATCTTGTTATTGGACAATAACAAGGTTGTGAGCATAGGACACTTCGGAGACGACATGCTTGAAGGAATTTTTGTTATATAATTCCTCATTAAAGAAACCTTCAAAAGATTTTCACTCCATTCATCCTCTTCTGGTAGCTTTTCCAAGTTAATGCCAGCTTTTACCAAAAATTGAGGCCTAATATCCAATGCCATTTCTCGAAAAAGATCATGCATACTCACACAGTCTTTTCTTTCTCGATTTTTAACTGATTCCAACAAGCAGTTGTCAACCAGCTTCTCGAGTATAACATGACCCTCACAATACATTGTGTCCCTAGTTTCCCCTTCTTCATATATAAACCCCTCCTCAATCCAACACTCAATTAACTCCTCCCTTGAGATTTCATAATCTTCAGGATATAATGCACAGTATAGAAAACACTCCTGGCATTGTGATTCTAAACATTCATAACTGAATTTCAAACGATCAACAATTCCTTCAAATTTACTCAATTTCCTAGCTGCCTGCTTCCACAAATTAGGATCCAATTTTCTGCTCATAGTTTTGGCTACCGTCACAATAGCAAGGGGTACTCCATCACATTTTTGCAAAATTTTCGTAAAAAATGGCTCTATATCTCCTTTAATTCTACCATTTGACAACACTGCACTTCCAACTTTCTCCAAGAATAATGCTGATGCTTTTTCAGGTGGAAGAGGATTCACAGAGATCACCTCACACTCCATTGCACGAGCAACATCTTGTGACCGTGTCGTGAGTACTAACTTGCAACCATTATTTCCATCTAGATTAGGAATTCCAGCATCTTCTAGACAAAATTGCTGCCACACATCATCTAGAATTAGCACGAAGTTGCCCTGCCCCAACTTTTGTGAAATCAATCCTGCAAGCTTGGTTTCATTCTCATGATCCCCTGGCTCCAATTTTAATTCCAAGCTACTTGCAATCCTTCTCTGAAACTTGGGAATATCAAACTCCCTTTTTTGCTGGACAATAATGTCAAAGTCTTTTGACACTTTTACCCAAATAACTTTGACAAATTTTTGTTCTTTCAACAGTTGGTTGTGGACATGCTTCATAATTGTTGTCTTGCCCACACCACCCATCCCCCAAATTGCTATTCTTCTAACCTTGTCTCCCTTCAAACAATCCAGAATTTGTTTTTGTACATAATCCCTGCCACTGCATTCTTCAACAAGTAGTGGAACTCCTCTGATTGAGTGATCATCTATGACCAAACTCACACCAGCATTAGTGAATTCTTTTCCTTCATCAAGCATTTGCTTCAATTCTTCAGTGTTTTTCCTGAGGGTGATTGATGGGGAACAGTCCTCTTGGTTGATTAGATCTTCAACCTTTATGGAAATCTGTTGACCTGCTTTCTCCAGCCACTCTTTGACATCCTTCCTTGCAATCTTTCTAGGGGGCATACACTGAGTCTTTAAATTTGCTTCAATGTGTTCCTTCTGGTGCTTCAACCTCTCTTGCTTTTCTTTGAATACAGGTGCACAATACTCGATTGATTGATTATCTACAACCAAACTCGCATCAACATTAGTGTATTTTTCTCCTTGCTCAAATGTTTGCTTCAGAACTTCCGTTATTTTCTCGAGGTTGGGTGATGGAGAACATTCCCCTTGGCTGATCAGGTCTTCAACCTTTATGGCAATTTGTTGGCCTACTTTCTCCATCCAGTCTTCAACTTCCTTCCTTGCAATCTTTCCAGGTTGTACACGTTGAGCCTCCAATTTGGCCTCAATGTCTTTTTGCCGAAGCTTCAGCTGCTCTTGCTTTTCTTTGAATACAGTTGTGCGATACTCAATCGAGTGATCATCTATGACCAAACTCCAACCATTATTAGTATAATTTTCTCCTTGCATGCATATTACTTCATTCAGTGCTTGAGTCTTTTTATTGAGCTTTCTTGATGAGCAAATATATGTGAAACAGCCTCCTCTACAAGTCAGATCTTCAACCTTTATGGCAATTTCTTTGCGCGCTTCCTCCTGCCAATTGTCAGCTTGGCTCGTTGTTTTCTTTCCAGGCTGGTTAAGCTCTGTGATTAATTTTGCCTCAACGTCTTTTAGTTGGCGCTCCAGCTTCTTTTGCACAGCTACGAATTGATCCACATAATCATTGTGACAAAATTGATACTTGACATATTTCCGAACAGTAGGGCCAACGTCCTTCACAATATCAATGACTGATTTTATGATGTCCATTTGGGAGTCCCTGCATGTATAAAATAGTTAGATATAGGCTAATTATGCATTGGAAACTTAAATGACCTTAGGAAATGGATCATAGTACAATTATAAGGTACGAGAAACAATTTTTGAAATTAAAGTATTTGGGAGAAAATCAAATTGAGTTGGAAATTAATGGTGGAAGTACCATGAAGTATGAATGACTTATTTAAGTAAAGAAGCTAATAATTAACCATGCGGTTATTGGGAAGTGCAAACTTGCTTCAGAGCAAACTTGCTTTTAAGGAATAAAATACTAAGATAAAAAGTGAGACTACACACCAACTTTTTAACAATTAGAAGTATGAATAATTGATTTTTCCTGTTCTCTTCTTGGCCACAAAAATTTTTTTTTTTCTAGAGTTTTCTCTTCTTTATTTTTTATTTTTTTATCAGCACTTTCTCTTATTCATTGATCTGTTTAGTTCATGAATGGTTAATGTGTTTGTGCTCTGCAGAATGCACCCCAATTGGTTGATATTATGCCAAGCAGGGCATGGAACGATGCTTTATAGATTTGTTATAGCCCATTGGGAAAATTAACTAAGTAGTTTGAAATTTGAAGATATGTTGCTTTAGAAATGTTAGACTTTGCAAAATAATACTTAAGGAACATCCCTTCTGTACACGTATTTAGAGCTGAATTAGATTATATTATAAAAGATAATTAATAGCCATTAAGAGTATATTAATTCAGAAGGAAGACAAAGATAAATTTATTACTTCTTCGTTCACTTTTAATAAACTTAATTTTTTATTTAGGATATTTAAATTTAGTTATGCACTTTTTTTTTAAGATACTATTAAATATGTTTATTCTTATTTTATCATCATTTTAAAAAGATAATTCAGCATATATTAAATAAGAAATCTTATTTAAGTAGTATTAATTAGGGATAAATATGAAATTTTATTAATAAATTATTAATCTTTATTTTATT